TAGATGACTTGTTGGTGTGAGACATATGACATGGGTCAGTTGTTTGGTTTTGTCCCTTTTGATAGCCCAATTGGTCAATGTCTCTCTTTAATTTTCCCCTAAATAAACCAAAAAAAAGTCTAAAATCTCGCGGAGCCTAAAGGGTTAAACTCCAAGTGCTCTGATTATTATTTTTGGTGGTCTTGAGTACGAGTACAAAAAAGTGGTCTAGAAGATCGGGGCTTCAAACCTGGAGGATAAACCTAGATAAAATATTCAAAAGTTTTTCGCTCGAAAAAAGTTCTTAAAAGAAATAATAATAATAACACAATATGGGCTTTGCATGAGTTGGAATGTTATCCTCCATGTACCTCAAGCACATGTGGTAATGAGCACGAGAAATCAATTTAGAAAACTTGGGGAAACCCCTCTATGGATAAATCTAGATAATTTTGTTTGGAATACTTTGTAATTTTTTTTTTTTTAAAAAAAAAGAATATAAAAGAAGGGAATTTGTCATGTTCTCTCTTGTTTATTAGGAACTAAGGGATATTTTTTGAACATATTTGGGTAGACTTGTGAAAGAAGCTTGTGGCGGGTAAGCTATATATGGAATAGCATGGGAACTTATCTAATTTTCTATGACCTCGTACTGTGGGAAATATACTTACAATCAAGATTTTGGCTATAAGAATTATCGGGTGGATTAGGAGATTTACACTCATTATGACATTAAGAATTGTTTATTTGTCATTCTTCCCGAACGGTATGCAATGTTGCTTGATTGAGAACAAACAAAATACTAAATGTGACGGATTTGTATACGCTTTTGCGTCCCAAGAGCCAGATCGGGAAACTCCCTTCAAGTGATGGCTAACCAAATACCTGAGCCTAAGAAATCTAGGCGGCCCATGTCGCTCTCCTCCCCCGACACAACTATCCTGTCGTAGATTGACCGAAGCCGACACCTACATACATCGGGGATCCCGCTAATCTAACCCCAAGGAAGAGCCAGAACCAACGAGAAAGGGAAGCACGATTCAATCGTTGTCGGAGCGGTAATCGGCATTGGTCACCACAATGACACTTACAAGACCACGGAAGCTTCTAGTCAACGGCAAAATACCTGGCAGGGGAGGAACCGAAATAGCACCATGAAGCTTCCAGCATGCTCCCGGCAGCGTCAGAGCCATGGGGTACCGTGCACCCTTGATGGGTGGGCCAACAACTGCGGAAAGAGATCTGCGATCGAGAAGAGGAGGAAGGAGACGAGAGAGAAATTTGACATCTGACAATTCTTTCAGATAAGTTTTTTAATCTAATTGTCATTCGAAAATAACAAAAATGCTTGTTTGATATCTTCAACCATAAAATTCTAAATTGATACTTGAGTAACGATGATATATTACTTTAAAGATAAAAAGTTTTCTTATTAATTTCGTCGTCTTAAAATTTGTTACCAATAAAGTACTGTTTTATGTTTCAAAATTTAATCAAAATTGTTATTTTTTTTTATTGGACCAAACATCAACGACAAATCATTGCCTCTCCAATTAAACGGAAAAACTAAACTGATGGAGATAAGAACACTAAGTTCTTCCATTCTCAAACAATGCAAAAGAGGAAAAAAAAAACAAATTCTTAGACTGGTTAGGAAAGATGGAACAACTTGTGAAAGCAAGGACGCCATTTCACATTGCATTGAAGACTACTTCTCTCAGCTCTTCACCTCATAAGGGAGCCATTATGAGGCTAGACTACTACAAGGAATTGGATCAGTCATCATAGAAGAGAAAAACAAAGAACTTGTGGCACAAGTGAGTACAGAAGAAATTAAGGAAGCCCTTTTCAACATTAATCCCCTCAAAGCCCCTGGTCCAGATGGTATGACTTCAGCTTTCTTCCACTCATTCTAGTCCTTAATCTGTACTGATCTTTGTTCCTATATCACTAGCTTCTTTAATTCCGGTCTAATCTTGAAAAGAATGAATCAGTCGTTAATCACTCGTATCCCCAAATGCCTTCATCCAACAATGGTTTGTCAATACAGACCAATTAGCCTTTGAAATGTCACTTATAAAGTTATTTCCAAAATCTTGGCTAATTGACTGAAAATTTCCCTTCCTTATTGCAACAGTGATAATTAGTCAGCCTTTGTGTTTAATAGGAAGATCTTTGACAATGTGATAATTGCTAATAAAGGTATTCATTTTTTGAAGTGTCATCAATCTGGCAAAAGTTATTATATCGATTTGAAATTGGATATGTATAAAGCCTTTGACATAGTCGAATAGAACAGTGTGAGTTTGATTGTTTTACAATTGGAATTTAATGCTTTATTTGTGAGATGGATTATGCAATGCATTTCTTCAACCTCTTTTACCTTCAATGTGAATGGAGAGTCTGCAGGATAATCAAATCATCAAGAGGACTGAGACATGGTGACCTCTTGTCACCCTACCTCTTCATCTTAATCTCTAAAATACTTACCCATCTTATAAAACCAGAAGTAGCCAAAGAAAATCTGCAAGGAATCAGAATGAACAAAAACTGCCTAGCACTTACACATCTATTTTTTGCACATGATACTCTACTTTTCTTTAAAGCAGACATCCCTGAAGCCACTACCCTTATCCAAATCCTCCATAAGTACCACACTCTGACAGGCCAAAAGGTTGATCTTGCAAAATTATCCATTTTTTTCAACAAGAATACACCTCATACCTTACAAACCCAAGTCTATAATATCTTGTTGGGAATACAACCACAAAACCTCTTCAAAATACCTACGCCTTCCTCTTGGGATTGGCAGGTCCAAAAATTCAACCTTCTCTTTTGTGGAGGGAGCAATCAAGAAAAGAATTTCAAATTGGACAAAAACTTATCTTTCTTGTGCAGGTAAGGAAGCGATGGTGAAAGTTGTGTTAAGTGCTCTACCTACTACACAATGTCCTGCTTTCTCATGCCTAAGACAGTGAACAAGAAGTTCTCTTCTCGCTTTGCAAATTTTTGGTGGAATAATAAGAAAAATGGCTCAAATGGGATTCATTGGAAAAACTGGAAAAACCTAATACTGCCAGAGATGATGGGAGGGCATGGATTTCATGACCTCCATAACTTCAACAAAGCCTTGATCTTAAAGCAGCTTTTGAGGATAATTTCACTACCTCATCTTCTAGTTAGTAGGATTATAAAAGGGAAGTACTTTCCCCATGACAGTCTTCACTCAGTAAAGAAGAAAAATAACTGCTCTTGGCTCTGGACTAGTTGGTGAACAATGAAACACAATTTCCTAATGGGGATCAGATATCAAATCAAGAATGGAAGATTAGTGAACATCTGGTCTGAAAGTGAAGATCAAAATCAGACATTTCATTTGGAAATCTCTGAACAATATTTTGCATGCGCTTATAAACCTGCACACAAAAGATAGATCTTTGGACACAATCAACAAATTATGTGGAGAGGTGGAGGAGTCACAAGAACATCTGTTCTTTAATTGCATTAGAACAAAACTAATCTAGAAATTAGCTCTAGTCTCTTGGAAAGGGTTGCAAACTGATACCATTTGCTTTAAACACTAGTGGATCAAAATTTGTTCTCTTAACCTCAATCCAGTTACAAAAGCTAGAATTCAACTAACTAGCTATCTCCTATGGTGGATGTGGATAACTAGGAACTTGTGGCTATTCGAGCAAATTTGGAGGTCAGAGGCTCACACAGTCATATTGGCACTGCAAGAATTGTCTGAATTCTCCCTTTGTACAGGTTAATGTGTAGCTAGCTGGTAGCCTTTTCTGTTGGTTTTCTGCTTTGCGTTAAAAGGTAGTTAGTTGTGTTTTACTTTCCTTAGTGTTTTGTTAGCCTGCTAGGTCCTTTGGGATGCAGTGGCAAGTTAATTTTGTTGCCTAATGTCTCTTGGTTTGTAAGACTTTGTTAGGCTCGGGTTTGGTTGTTGCTTGCGGGTTCAAAGTTTGTCTTTGTCTTGAGTGAGTCCTCTCTCGTGGTGTAATTAAGGAGTTGATGCTCCTTCTGTCTATAAGGGCACTTTGCCTAAGATTTCTTTTCATTGTGTTTAAAAAAAAAAAAATAAATAAATAAATAAATAAACTTGTTCTTCCATAACTAATGATTTACTGAGGAAAAAAAAAAATCTAGAATTTGATTCGTAGAACGAAACTTTTGGAGCATTCACAAACTATGAAAGCGTCACTTTCGAAGAATAAGTCTATTAATAAATTAAAGATGTAAGTTACTGTTTGTAATTAGAATTTTTTGTAATTAAAATTTTTATCTAGAGAAATGCTACATTGTCAACCTAGTGTACAATTAGGTTGACAACATGAGTGAAAAACATCAACAAAAATAAAAATAAGAAAATACACAAGTAGATGTATTCACTTGTGTTGTCAACCTAGTTGTACACTAGGCTATGTATCATTTTCCTTTTATTTAATGGTAAAAACAAGATAGTCTATTTATAATATTTTGCTATGGGGAAAAAAAAGGAAGAAAATTATTGTCATTCTCATAATAATTACTTAAAAAAATAGCAAACTTTTAATCAAAGAAACTCAATTTTACAACCAAAAAAAAAAAGTTACTGTACAATCAATATTGTCTTATCACAAGCTATACTCGGAAAATTATATTTGTGGAATGAAAGCAAACCAACCATAGCCCTGTAAACTCAAGAAGCCAGTCCTTGTCAGTTGTCGGTGAAACCTTGAACCTGTTTATTGAGGCAACTTCGTATCAGCAGCAGATAATATAACTTTCCTTGTTTTAGGGGCTGAATATATTTCAAGGGGTTGATTTCAATGGTACGACATAAATCTAAACAATGGATATGACGAAACCTATATCAGACAAAAGGAAAAAGATCAAATTGATTTTGATGAAATAGATACTTATGTTGAAGTTGAAAAGCAAGTAAAAGAGAACGAAAATAAATAAAGATAGCATAAAATATACCCTATGCCAACTTCTAAGGAATGTACAGAATCTTTCGTCGGAAGAAATTAACCCCACGCCATGGAGCATGCATAATTGACCACCAATTTGCCATCAATGCCGAAATTCTGAAATCGTAATTCAACTATTGTTTGAGATAATACACATGTTACATAAAAGAAACAGCATTGTTTTTCTAAAAAAAATTAAACCAAATCTATTTACCAACATCCATGTACAAATAACTATTGAGTGAATAACAATACAATCTAATGATTCAAAAAAAACAAAAAAACAAAAAAACAAAACTCGGAGGACACACAGACACACAAACTGTATCATGTTAACAATGACTCTGGAAAATATCAAGATTCGTCCACCTAACAGCAGATTCAGCTTAACACCAAATAACAAGCCCACCAATATACAAGAGATCATGAAAATGACAACTTACATTATAAAGGTCGAGGACCAGCTCATCAGGATTCGGTGAGAAAGCACTGTTTACATACACAAACTGAACAAAAAAGGATATTTAGCAACACCGTATATTAATTGCAAGAAGTGAAAAGCTAGCATTGTTGATCAAAGCTAAATTGAATAGTTCAGAAGAACTTACCAGTGTGTCCCTGTGAAGCTGACGGCGAAGAAAATCTATTACTTTTGCGAACTTGTCTGTTCCGGCAATCTGCATTTTAGAAGAAAATGGAAAACATGTAAGGGGAAAGTACAAAAGATGTCTCAGTATCTAAATTTATTTGAACTGTGTGTACACATTCTTAATCTAAAAAAATATGCTGGACCATAACTACCAATTGATTTTCTGTCACTGAACAGCTTTTAGGAGTGGGTATTGAAAAACCATTCCACAGATTGATCACTGCACAATCACATACTCAATATCTCCTATAGAGAGAAAATCCCATGAACTATGCAGGATTTAGAAATCGCCTCACATACTCAAGTGGTTTTCGGCATCTAATAATAACAATAATAATAATAATGTGTTGAAGATTGCCAGGGTGTCTGGACCAATCAATCATCAGTTTCAGTCCATGCCCAAAACGAATCATCTCAAACTTCAAAAGAAACGGGAGAAGCTAAAATTTGTCCTTCAAAATTGCTCTAACTCGGCTACTTTCCTCTTGTACAATCCACTAGGGCAAAGAAAACAAATCAAACATATTTCAATATATTCTAAAAAGTTAACCACCACTGCATGAATCTTTTAACAATGCAATTCGGTTTCCTTTTCCAAGGATGTGGGAACCTTGAATTTTGATTGCTTCAGAATTGGAGCGTCACCAGTGGCTCTCAAATGAACTACCACTGCATACATCAATACAACAACTCAATATAGAATTTGGAAGAAACAGAAAAAGAATTTCCTCATCAGAAACAAGAAATTAGCAGTGATAAATATAAACCACAGAAAAATCAAATAGTCTCTGTATCTGAACAGTAGTTGACCTTTCTGTGCATCGGAAGCCATTGTTCGATGATCCAAAGTCAAGGCCAACGCGTTAGATCTATAGGTTTGAGGCAACAATAAGAAGATAAGTCCAAACTTGCTATAGATTAGTATATATTAACATGAACATATATAAAATGGACATCTAAAAAAGTTTTCAATAAGGTCGCTTAATGGATAGGCAGTCATAGTCATATTTTTTCAGCAAATATGCATACTTTCTAAATGACATGTCCTACTCGGAAAAACATCATAAACAAAAATTTGACATTTCATACTATACATACGCATTTTGGTTAAAAGCATATGACTCGTCGACCTGTATAACGGTTAGGCCGACTCATACAAGAATTTGTGAGAAACTTTATATGTTATCACCAAAATCTTAGAGGTGTGATATATAACTCTTCCCAAATTTAATCATCCTTCAAACATAAATACAATCATTCAATCCAAAACCTCTCAAATCAAACAAACTACACAAAGCTATATATCCGTATATATCACAATTTTAGCCGAGCAATTAACCATCCAAATCCAAAGATACAATAAAATTGAAAAAAAAAAAATAAAAAATTAATCAATCCTCATCCCGAGGATATCAATTTTGTACCTGAAAAAACAATTAACACTAGACTCTCTTACCTTTAACCTCTCAAGCTACGGCTTTATACCAATATAAATATTTCAGAAAGAATTTCGCATTTAATCGTTTATGTAGTTGGGGTTAGACGATGAGGAAGTACGAACTTACCTCTTCGGAGTTTTAGTCGCCGGGGACGTCTCGCCAGCTGGTGTCCGCCGATCGGAGATTTGGCAGTGGACTGGGTGCCGGCAGCGGAGGTCCTAGTCGCGCTTTTTTTTACCTTTTTTTCTTCACATTTTAGAGAGAGTATATTTATATTCTGGGAGCCTTTGTTTGTTTGAGCTATATGCAGTTTGGGCCTTTTATTTTGAGTTGGGTTTTCACTATTATTAGTTTCCAGGCCTTTCTCAAAGCTTTTCTAGGCCTTTGAGTTATTTTCTATTTGTTCTTATGATTCTAAAATTCACCACAATTTAAGTCCTTTATAACGGAAAATGTAACAAAATATAACATTACAAGAATTAAGTTGCTAAGAAAAAATAAATTTTTTACTAGCAATTTAAGGCCTGTAATTTTAATTTTGTTTTGCGATTTCAGTCTTAAAGGACTGAAATTGTAACACAATATTAAATTACAGGATCAAAAGATAAAAATATAAAATCTTGAGACTAAAACTGCTATGGCGGTAAACTAGCAGGACTAAAAATGCAATTTTGCCATTTAACTGTAATGGTTCAAAACTTGTATTGGGCTTTATATTATAAGTTTTGGGCTTAAGTGTGTATCACTTGATTATATCGTCGTGTTGGGTTGATACTTTGTAGTTGATATCAAGCCTACTAAATTATTATATTATTTGGTTCAAGATTTGAAATAATAATTAATACTGAAAATAATGTGTTTTTTCAGTATTGACCCTATCCATTCACCTTACTTTTTTGCTCTTTTTATTTGACGTTTAGTCAAGTGTTTTAGCACTAAACCAATGTAAAAAATAAAAAAAAAATAAAAATAAAAATAAAAATTGTAGAAACAAAAATGAATAAACTACATAGAAAATAAAGAATTGACAAAATATTAGAATAAAATAAAAGCAAGTGTTGTACCCAATTTTCTTAAGATTCGGTCCTGCCTGCCAAGACGAAACCAAACAAATAATTGTGTATGTATAAGTCCAAACGCCAACAACCCATAAAGCCTGCGAACGTCTCAGGAAGCAATGCTAATCGAGTCTTTCAATCCCCCATGACCAGCAGATAATGACTTTTGTCGATCTCCCTATAGCTTCCCCTGGAAGATTTGGCGATCTCCCTCGCATATGAACGTTGAACCAGTAAAGTTGATAGAGAAATCGCCCAAGAAGTCCCATCCTCAAAAATAGAGTTTTGCATGGATACACGCAATGTCAACCTACGCCCCTAGCTGGCACAAGACATTTATTATGCCTTTGCCTTTTGTGTATAAATTCGACTCGTTCGGTCCTAGCAAAACACGAAAAATCATCACAAAAAAGAAACCTCCACTGTAATGTATCATTATACAATTTTTCAATAAAGATCCTGCTAAAAACATTCTCCTTGTCGATCTCCTCAGTAGATCGGAAAAATTGATGTCGTCTTCATTTCTCGCTTGTTTTTATTTCCATTTTGTAGACTGCTCATACTAGCTCTATTTTTTTACCTTTAAGTCTAAATAAAATATATTGTAACCCCCAATTTAACCGTCTGATTAATATCAATCATAATCGTTGGCAGCCGACCCTCAACAAAATAGGGCTAGAAGAAGGGCGGCCGTCAAAGTTTACCGCTGACCCAACCGCCTATAAATGGCCATTTTCGTTCAAGGTTTTTCCTCAAACACTTTGTCTTATTCTTCCTATACACATATATTATCCTTGTACAAAGAAGGGCGGCGCAACTGACCCCTTTTTTTTCCTTTTCTAATCAATCGGAAGTAAGGAGGGATTGACCGACCCCTCCGTCTCCGGTTACCCCGTTACTCCATCCAAATGACAATTCTCATAAAAGTATCCAAATACCACCTATTTGCTTCCTCACACTACAAAAAAAATCAGATCTATATATTGTTGCCAAATTTCATATTAGTCAACCTTCGACAAGAACACAAATCGATTAGCTAATTCTCGACAAGAACATCAAGGGTGTATAACTCTTCGACCAAGTTTTGAGCTATCTTGGACAACAAGTGAGCTCGACCATTTTCTCTTCTCGAGATTTGAATCAGCTCAAATGGGCTATAAACTCTTTCTGCAAAATTTTGACCTCATCCACATATTTCTGCCATCAATTTTTCTTTCACCTTGAAACCTCCTTCACCTTGAAACCTTCTTGCAGCTCTCCAACCACGAGCGGTGAATTCGAATGAACATGCACCTCTCTAAATCCACCTGCTAGTGCCAATTGTAATCCCTTTAACAAAGTCTCGTACTCGGCCACATCATTCGATACTATAACACCCAACTTCATCGAAAATTCCAAATTATCCTCCTTTAGAGAAATCAACACGATCCTTAAGCCTGCTCCTCCCATAGAGACTGATCCATCAACAAAGATCTTCCATCTTCCCTTTGTATCAACCTCCACACCAGTTCCCTCCTGAATAAATTTGCCAGAATTCGGTCCTTAATCTCCCACCAATGTTCCTAGACCAAAGAATATTCGCTCAGTTCGATCTCCCACATAACCATTCGACCTGAAATAGAAGGTCGACCCAATGTTTCTCCAAGTGGCATGTCCGTCCGTACTTTGACCTTATGGATAAGAAAATATGGCCTCAACTTCCTTACAATTACGACCACTGCCAAGACTCACTTCTCAATCTCGGACTATCTCAACTCCACCCCTTGCATAATTTGACTCACATAGTAAATCGGATATTGCGCCATACCTTCCTCCCGCAACAACACTGGTTCATTGTCGCCGCCTAGATTGAAACATAAAGCACTGGGTCCTTTCCTTGCACCGATTTGGCCAAGAGAGGTTGATCGACCAGAATGACATCTAGCTCCTTAAACGCCTTCTGAGCCTCTTCAGTCCACTTGAACTTTGAGCTCTTCTTTAGGGTTGTTCATATGGGCTTGCGTATCAACTCTAACTCAGGGATCTTCAATTGAATCCAAAAGGACAAGCATAGAAATATATGCATTTTTTGTATATATTCATGAATGTATGTATTCTTTTTTTTTTTCTTACAAGATGAGAGAGAGCCTTTTTATGCTCAAGTTCACACATATATACCTCTCCCCTACAAGTGGGTATAACCAAATAATTAAGTTAAAATAGTAAACTAGCATATAACGCGAGGGGATTATCCGGGGGAGGGGCACCTATGACTTTGATGGCTTCGATTGACCTCTATCTTGTCGGCAATTGTGGCGTCTTTCTGGAGGCGACTTCTTTAGGATATCCGTGCTGGTCACCTTGAATTCTGCTCGGCTTTGTAGCGGGCGGACTTGTCATTAGGAGGTTCGGTCGGCCTTTAGACGATCCACTTGGAATACCTGTATTTCTTCCACATTTATTTATTATGTATTTTCGGCTCTTTGGTTACCGGACTGTACTTTATTATTTTATTTACCATTTATTTAATCGGAGCAAATTGGGTATCAACAGAGGTTTTCAACAATGAGGCTCCATTTGACCACTTTTGAAATGAATATCTTAGGCATGCAATTCGACCAGTTAAAATTTGTACCTCTTTTACGTTCTTCGGGGGTTGCATCTAAACATAGCTCGAACTTTTTGTGGATTCACCTTGATCATATAACCTAAGAATTTTCCTGACTTCACACGGAACGAACACTTGGTTGGATTCAGCTTCATTCCATATTCTTGTGTGTGATAAAGGTCTCTTCAAATATGTTAAGTGGTCAACCTCCACTTTGCACTTGACTAGCATGTTGTCCGTGTATACCTTCATATTTCGTCCTAATTGCACTTTAAAAATCTTGTCGACCAACTGTTGGTAGGTCGCTCCTGCATTCTTCAGGCCGAACGTGTATAGCCTCGAATATTTTTAGTATTTATGGAGCTTGACTTTATTTCCACAAATAGCAAATTTCCATATTTTATGCATTATTATTTTTATTTGCATTAAATTGAATATTTAATTCAAGTCTATGCCATGGAGGATTCATTCAATTTTTAATTTAAAAATCGAATTATCTAGCCCAAGTATCGGTTTTATTTTATGAAACTGAGCTTTGGGAAGATCGAGGAGTTTATTTAAGTCGGGCCATGACCCAATCATTTTTCGAGTAGGCCCAATTATTTCGAGCCCATAAGTCGGCCCATTAAATCGAGCCATCATTTATCCATTCGACCGATCTATTATTTATAGTCCAAGTCTCGTTACATTTTTAATTGGCCCGAACATTTAATTTTTAAGCCCAAGTCGATACCTAGTCTAAGCCAAATTTTAAGCTCAATATACCTACCAAACCCTAATTCCCTCTCACTACTATATATATAACATCTCCTAGCACACCACTCCACCTCATTTCATCTTCATCCACATTCAAGAGCTCAAACACTAGATTTACAAATCCTGCATAGCAAAAAATCATTTCTAGCCTTCACCATCAAGAAATCTGGCCATTTTTCCAGCCAACGTCCTGTTTTCCGGCGAGCTTGAGTCCACCGCGCCTAGACCAGCCGGCAAGCACCCGAGCCACGGTACACGAGCCCAGCTCCCTTCCACGCAGTTCGCTTGCCTCCGTACCGACGAGCCAGCCGCAACAAGCCCGAGTCCACGCCGGCAGGTAACCTCTCGCATGCATCCGCCTGTACGCCAGCTTGCCAGCACAGTACGCCAGCTCGCACGCAATTCCCGTCGACCCCAGCGTACCCAGGTCGTTGTCCGTACGCTCGCATGTCTTCTGTCTGTACGTGCGCAGTTCGGGCCTTGCCATCCCGCGTCCATACGCCCTGGTTCCAGACCTGAAAAGCTGCAGTCTGTACGCCGCTCCCAGCTCGCGTCCGTACCTCCCAGCGACGAGCTCGCTAGCCCATGTCCGTACCACGTCGCGCCACCACCAGCCGTAATGAAAACGATCCATCACACCACGAATCCGAGCCCCACCGTGCTACCACGCACTAGAACCGAGTTCCTACCATAGATCCGAGCCTTCACAGCCCTGACCCGACCGGATCTAACAGCCACGAGCATTTCATTAACTACCTTCGATTTTTCATTTTTTGTTTGAGTCCTTTCTGAAGTAAAATAGCTGAACCTCTTACTCCATGAGCTTAGACAAGTATTTTAGTTTATTTTTAAAATGGTAGTTGATGAATTTGAGTGAGGTGTGATTTTATCAAGATTTGTTTATTTTAATGGCCATAAATTCATAATAAATTGGGTGTTGTTCCAAAAATTGTGATTTTAATTTAATAAATCATATCTTGTTGTCTTGAGGCTTAGGTTAAAATTTGGTGAATTTTGGAGATCGTTTGCTATATGAACCGGATTTGTGGATTTAGATCTATAATGTCTGATTTTACTTGATTGAGTTAGAGAATTTATTTTGTTGTGATCTTTTTACCAAAAATCATATATATGTTGAAGTTTCAATGGTAAAATTTCGTGAATTTTAGTGATCGTTTAATATGGTTTAAAATTCGGGACTTTAGCCTTATTTTGCGGTAATTTTAGAAATTGTTCTGGTTGTATTTAGCTAAAGTTGTTAGATGCAGAGTCCCTATAAATCATGTTGAACTTAGGGTTAAAGTTTCGGCTTAAAATGAGTAGGTTTGACCAGTATAGTAGAAAACCCTAGTTCAGCCTTTTCGAGCACCGAGTAAAATTTTAGATCCGAGTTGCACATAGTCAAACGAGTGACCATTCAGTTCCAATCGAGTCGCCGGTCCAATCCAAGTGAACCAGTCCGCGTAGTTTAGACAGTTCGTG